AAGGCAAGGGCGTCAACAAGGAGGTAATAACAGATGAAAATTTGAAAGATTTCCTAAAGCATTTTCAATTTTTTTCAATGTTTCCAAACGGGGTCAAGTTAGACACTATTATTGGACAGTTGTTGTTTCGCTTGAACGACTCCAATTTATATCGTAAAACGTTATCCCAAGAAATATATAAGAAAATAGAGGATTGGTTTAAACAACCAAAGGGCGAATATCTGACGGATAATCGAGCTAGAGCCATGTTCAGCGAGATAAAAAGCGACAAGTACTGCGAAGAATTGAAGAGCTACAACTTGTCGTTTAGACATAACAGCTTAAATTTCACAGATCCGACGAGAATTTTCCACGTCAATTCCGAAGGAAGACATTTGTTGCAGGCGTTGAAAGTTTATAGTGCCTTACAAAGAGACCAAAGCAAACAGCTGTACGTCAATCCTAATGATGCAGTGGAAGTGCAGAAATGCGTCGTAGAGGCATTTGGACTTCCCCGTTACAGCTTTTTGATAATAATTGGAACCAAAATCACCGAAGAAACTGCAATAAAGGAAATAAGTGCCAAATTAAAAAATATATTGGAGAAATACGGTTTTAAAAAAGTAATTTTTGTGGCCGAACGTAACTATAGGCTAAGCCAACAAATTGGACTGAACGATATTTACCACGATAGACCCGTGACGTTTGAAGATCTTTCCAATGAGTGCCAGGAGAGATTAGTAAAGGAACAACGTATAGTTTTTCAAGGAAAGCAGATCAGCTTAGAAGAGATATTAGCCACACAATCACGCGAGGACTGGGCGAGGGCCGTAAATTCTGAAATTCTAGAAAACCTAATTAGAGAGAAAGATATCAAAGTGGGCATACGACCATCAAATCTAAACGAACGCAGCTCCCGATGCTACATATATCGTACGTTTGAGAGACAAGTGTATAACATTGAGGGTAAAGATGATGACGAATTGAAAGAAGAAACTTTCCGACAGAAAATTAAGCTTTTGGACGTATACGAAGACGACAGTACTAAGTTGAAGGAAGAAACTTTCCCAGAAGAAGGCATTTACGATGTAAACGAAGACGTGGTACTTATCTCGGACAGTGCAGGGACGGGAAAAAGCACCGTCCTTACTAACCTGGCAGCGACTATAAAAGAAAACAGTCCCCACTTGTGGGTGATCAAAATCGAACTCACTGAATACACCGCCATCTTAAGAGACTCTTTAAACAACAGAGAAAAATCTATAAGCGCAATGAAACTGTTAAGTTCTAGAAAGTCAACAGAACTGACGAACCATTTAGAAAGGTTTGTGTTTTCCATGAACAAAAAGGTTGTGCTGATGCTGGACGGGATCGACGAGATCAGTCCCGATTACACGAACCTCGTTCTGAGCCTGCTGACTCAGTGCCTACAAGCAGCTAATTTTGCGAAACTTTTTATTACTACAAGACCCCACATGGTCCGAGCATTGGAAGTGGTTTTGAGAGTAAAGCCTTTTGTGTTGCAACCCTTCACGCAACACAATCAAGTGGACTTCCTCACTAGATATTGGGTGCATAATTTGAACATAGATCGTGAGGATAAAGACAAGTGCGAACAATACGCTAGGGCGCTGATAAGCAGGATGTCTTCGTGGACAAAAGGTTCTCACCCCAACGAAGACGACTTTACCGCCATCCCACTGCAACTTGGTATGCTGGCCGAGATTTTCCAAGAAAGCATAAAATGGTACGAGTCGTCAAGTTGGGAAGGCTGCAAGGAGTACTTAGATGAGACTAGATTTGAACCGAAATTGCAGGAAAAAATGGAAATTAAAAGGCTATATGACATGTTTATCGAGAAAAAGAGGGACATCTATATATACAAAGCGAATCCAAGCGGAAACTCGGCTGCAAATATCATTCTCGTGCGAGCGGTCGAACTGAGCGGACGTGTTTATTGTACAGTGAANTAGTCGTGTGGGGATGCCCCCTCACGGGGGCGTACGTGTCTTTTGGTGTATTTGTCTGTCTGGTATATTGTTTGTCGGGGGTCGCAATTTTAAAGAAATGTATTCTAAAGCAATGCAAATAACTGATAAATAAATAAAAACTTACCTGGGCATAACCCCGGCACAGGTACCTGTAACAGAGATGCCGACGGCGTCTATGCTTAAGCCGGGGATTAGGTCGGTGATTAAAAGGAAAGAAAGGGATTCTTTCCAGGTAGCCTTAATAAAGGCAGGTAGAATTTGCTCCTTGCACTACACTTTCACAAAACACGTGTGCTCTGGTCGGCTGCCCGCTAGGAACTGACCTAAGAGCGCACGTAATTTCAACTTACCCCTTCCACCCTAGGGTGCGGAGGAGGGAGTGAGAGGTGTTTTTTTTAGACGTACCCTATCCTATTTATTTTGCGATTTTCGGATTCTACGCGTAAAACTACCCCCGGAAACGCATTCTTGCGGGTACGTCTAAAAAACCACCGCAACCCCCTCTGTACCTCCTATAGTAGGATCGTATTCGATGCAAAGTAGAGCAAAAAGTTGTCGGTCTTTTATCAAATGAAAATCGTGTCATCATTTTTAGGAGGCCTATGATAAATCATTTCAAATTTAAAATGAAATTCAATGTAAAATCTGAAATACCGCTGCATAGGTACGCACTGTGTTCTGGTAGTAGCTGTAGTCGCCCAGGTGCATCGAGTGTACGAATTGGTCGGTTATACGTCAAATACTAACCTGGCGAGCTTTGCCGTCAATTAGAGAGCGCTTCCAAAAAACAAGTAAACAACAAAGGCGCGTACAAAGGTAAAATGTAGTACATATTTGGAATTTTATAAAACAAATTGGATTTATAATAAATTACATTTAAAATAAATAGTTTATGAGAATAAAGGAATTTTTGTAGGAACAAGGGTGCCAAGACCTGAACTGATCCCCTCGTCCCTTCATAGTGTATAAAGAAATTATTCAATTTGTAAAACCCTTAAAAGCGTACTTCATTAGTTCCCTTGACAGAAAATGATTTATTACTTTGCATCGCGCGCGCGCCATTATTCTATGGCTAGAAATTGGCCTCAATGATTTGGGATCGAGGGGGATTATCCCTCTTTATCCTGCCTCATCTCGTGTAGGCCTGGACAGCCTTCGTAGGTGGGCCCCATCCGTCGTCTACCCCGACCGCAAATGCGGCCGGTGTAGGCGCTTTGTGGGACCTCCTTTTGTCCTGGCTGGGCCCCGCCGGCTAGGGCCCTTTCTTCTGGCGCTCTTCTTGCTTCGCCGGCTCGTCTGTGTAAACCCCGGGGGTAGTGTCATGTTTATGTGTGGTATGGTTGGGTAGGGTAGTGCGGCTATGCAGCCTGGGATGCGCTTTGCTAAGGTGGCCCTTAGGCTAGCGCGGGAGGGGAGGGTTAAGGAGGGTATGGGGGGTGTGTATATGTGTGTGTGTGTGTGTGTGTCGTTGTCTTCGTTTCTTGATCCTGGCTGTCTCTGAAACAGAAAAGGTTAGCGGGCAGGGGGGGGTGGGTCATTGGGGTGGTCACCCAGGGTCAAAAAGTTGGTGTCTAGGTCTTTTGTGTTTGTCGGTCACGTCGGGTACGTAGTCAACGGCTTGCCTGAGGAGGGGATTGTCATGTCTAGCGGCTACGTCAAATCGTTTCTCCGCGTTTTGTCTTATTGTGTGTGTAGCGTTTGTGTATTGTAGGTCTCGTAATATGTCAGTGTTTCTTACGTACCAGGGCGCGTCGGTGGCCGTGCGGAGGGCTATGTTTTCCACAGCCTGTAATGACTTTAAGTGGCTTTTTGCCGCGTGACCCCACGCCGTGGAGGCGTAGGTTAGCTGCGGTTGAAGTACCACCTTGATAAGCGTTCGCTTATTCCTTAAACTGAGGGTGTTTCCACCTTTGAGTAAGGGATAGAGCCTAGCCCTGGTGGTCTTCGCTCGCGCCACCGTCTCCACGATGTGCGGTTTCCACGTGAGACGCTGGTCCATCGTCACGCCCAGGTATCGTGTTTGTCGATTCCAGGAGATGGGTTCCTGGGATAGTGTCAGTCTGTCAAGGTTTTGTGGGATTTTTCGTTTGGTAAAAAGGATAGCCGAACTTTTGTTGGGATTAATTTTGACTTTCCACCTGTTGCACCAGGTTTCAAGTTGGTCTAAGGAGCTTTGGAGGAGGTAGACGGAATATCTAGGATCTACGGATTGGGATGTGATTGTCAGGTCGTCGGCGTATAAGTATATGTTGGTGTTGGGGGGATGTGGGATGTCGGAGTTGTAAATGGTGTATAGGTGTGGGGAATTTTGCATCGAATATGATCCTAGTATAGGGTGGAAGGAGTTGAGTCAAAATTACGTTCGCTCTTTAGATCTCCCCACGTATAGTACACCACTAAAATTTCAGATTTTTATATTCATTTTTAACGGGGATATGCCCAGGTGAACAAGAACTATAGTCATCGAAAATACGACAGTCCATACGAGGGTGGATTTTGGTTTTTGTGCGAATTCGGCAAGAACGCGTTTCCGGGAGTAGTTTTACGCGTAGGATCCGAAAATCGCAAAATAAATATGGTACGTCTAAAAAAACACTTACTCAGAGAGTGAGAAAACCAGAAATTTTAAACGTTATTGAAGACATCAATTTGTTTTTTAATAAAATTTACATTTTTAAATCATTAGATTTGTCAACATGCGACCAACGGGCTCCTCGTCCAGTGGTGAGGTATGAAAAATTATATATTTTTTTTAATTCAGTTTTTACAACGGAATTTGAGAAAACGAAAGGTGAGGAGTAGAACCTTCATATAAATATTAAATATGAGCCCCAATCAAAGTTACACCCTGTATAAGTCTCCACTCTCCAGTTTCCTTAGTTTTATATTCTCATATATGTATTTTACACCGGGTTAACTTAATTCTCGCGAAAATGTTACACCATTCCACCGTTGTACCGCAGTTAACCGCGTTAGTGGTTTTCTCGCCAAAAAAACTGTCATTTGTCATTCTCATTATCGTTATTTAAACGTCAAATGTTTTATGTAGCTGAGTAGCTGTATTATTTATCAACATAAATGTTTTCTATAATATAAAAAATATATATTTTTCGGAAATGTGATTTTATTTAAATTAAATACGAGTATTTCTCTTTATGTTAAATTGTTGTTAATTGTAAATAAAGATGATTGCACCTGAAGATGGTTCAACGAATGCAGATATGCCTGATAGAACGCCCCTCGTTCCCTCTGGAATCGGAATCATGAAAAGGATATCTGGTATATTTAATAGAAATCAAACTAACTCCTCAAGTAATGATGAGGGCCCAAGTTACATTGAGTTTGGAACTTTTTCTGAAGAGTCTAGTACAAGAACATTAGGTACTTTTGCAGGAGTTTTTGCACCTGTGTGCTTATCAATGTTTTCAGCTTTAATATTTCTTCGTATGGGTAAGTTTCTAAAGCATCATCATAGTATCTGATTCCCAAAAAACTAATAGAAATAACACATTACAGTCCAAAGTAGGAAAACGTTTTCTATTAGATTTATTATTCCAGATAATTATTTATTCTATCGTTAAATATTAAGTATTCGTAATTTTTAGGTTACATTGTTGGAAATGCTGGATTGTTGATAACATTAGGTCAATTTATAATAGCATATGGAATTCTTGTGTTTACGGTAATGTCTGTTTGTGCAATATCAACCAACGGTGCTGTGGAAGGAGGGGGAGCTTACTGTATCCTTTAAATTCCTCATAAATTTTCCTTGTTTATGTTTAGTTGAAAATAATGTTGCCTTGCAATGGTTTTTATTGAACAAGTAATACAGTGCCTCAAAGTTGATATTTATGCTTTTCAAAACAAATCGAACTTGTTTACTGAGGCCAATATGTGCCTCAGTTGATTAGAGAAATCCAATGGCATGCTGGTTTCTTTACTGGAGGCATTGTATATAAAATAAATGGTATGTTGTCAGAGACATATTATCTAAGAAATTGTATAAGTACCTATTTTTTTATTTTTCTATTTCTAATTATTTCTGTTGTAAAACATAATATGCACTCACTATCACAAAAATGAATATGCTATGTCTACATATTTTTTCCTCAACCTGAATATTTAGTTATGATTAGCCGAACTTTGGGACCCGAATTTGGTGGTTCTATCGGAACTTTGTTTTTTCTTGCTAATATTGTAAGCAGTGCACTATGTATATCCGGTTGTGTGGAAGGTTTAGTAGAAAATTTTGGTCCTTCGGGTAAGTAATCACATATTTATTATATCGTTATTTTTTTCAATGCATTGCTGTGTAACGGAATTGTGAAGTCTGTTTTTTTTTATTTGCTACCTCCTGTAACTTATACAGGTTGCCTAACTGATTTCAAATATGACATTCAAGGGCATTAAAGGCGGAATTATCAGATGGGAGCAATTGCATTGTTGCGAGATTGATATTTTGTATATACCTACAACATGAAGCTTTATTATTTTAAATAGAACATCCCGTATATTTTCACTTATTTGGATAGAGTTCTTTCTTACAATTATTGAGATAAAGTTTAATAAGTCTTTCTGTTATCAGAAAAAAAATTTGGTTACCTGACAAATAGACACCCTCTTTTGGCAATATTCTTCTTAGTATTACAAATAAATCCATCAAACCTTATATCAGTAAGTTACGCTAACAGAAAAGTCAAAGTAAAGACTGACGTTTGTTCACAAATTTTGACGTTTGTAGGTGACCACATTCCAACGGACATTGTGATTGACGCCCCCAAATCCGAATAATTTTCGCATTTATCATTATTGTTTTTATACATTTACCGTTTTTGTTATCCTATCCTCACAGCTTAAATAAAGAATTGCTTCTGCTTGAGGCGTTTTTCCTTAGATCAAATTAAATTGATCCTGCTGACTCCTAAAACTGTGGGCAATGTCAACAATATACTATAATTCTAAGAAAACATTCTATCCAAATGAATAAAAATATATAGGGAGTTTCATTTAAAAAATGAGTTATTCAGTTATATTTGAAAAAGTAGTAACAACAATTGCTGTCATTAGGTCAGCCATGTCCATTTACCTCTGGATATCAAGTTTGAGACATCCATCAGAAAGCTGATACCAAAGTTATATGGGGGCGCCCTTAAAAAAATGTACTGTATACATAGATCAGTTAAACTTCTAATAATTTATAATTAATAGAAGGATAGGGTGACAACAACTTTGGAACTATATATACTCCGCGGTCGAAATTATAAAGAGTGACTAAGACAATATAAAAACACTATTACCATAATGCGTATAAAATATAAAATGAATTTTATACAGTTCAATATTATTTATCTTTGTGCCGCTCGCTACGCACATCGATAGAATCTATAATCGTCTAGAGACCGAGTTACACTGAACGTCAATCTATATTCTATCTCTGTCTTTTGCACTTGGTAGGGAATAGGGAAATGCTTTTTTAGTGGGTGTAAACGGACTTGATTTAACCCGTCCTGAGAAACGTCATAGCATAAGCGTAGACGAGGGGTCTAATTCCATGGCTATAATAAATTTATAAATTAAAAAAACACAATTGGGACGTTTTAAAATGCTGTAATAATTAAAATGGATCAAAGTGCCTGTTATAGCAAACCGTAAAAAATATTAGATGTTATGTTTTATTATCTTACGTCAATGGATTTTCGTTCCCGGCACGCTTCATCCCCCTTACTAGTCCAAAAGCTAGCGATGAATCACTCTATAATTTCGACCGTGGAGTATAAATGTATTCATTTCTAGGATATTTTGTGAAAGAACTAATTCCAGATGGCAGGTGGTGGCAATTCTTATATTGCACCAGCTTAAATATATTAAACCTGATTGTATGCCTTATTGGAGCATCAATGTTTGCTAAAACTACAGTTTTTATTTTGGTGTTAGTTTGTGGATGTTTAGGTATTACATTCTTCACATTTTTCTATCAGGGTCCGATGCAGGTTTGTAATCGAATAAATGAATGAAATTTTGGTGACCAAGCTGAATTATTTTTAGATAGAAATACCAGATTCAAATACACTTTTACATAATATAACACATGAGAATTATACAGGTCTACGTGGATATACTTTGGAAAGTAATTTATGGCCTCAATATGGCATAGATTATACAGCAAAAGGAGCAGTAGTTACATTTGCCACAGTTTTTGGTGTACTATTTTCAGGTGTAACTGGTATAATGGCAGGAGCTAATATGAGTGGTAATTATTTCATTTACTTTTAATGAGTCCTTTTCTTTTTAAAATATTCAATTCAGTAGTTTTTATCTCTCAAATTCAAATAAATTCAAAAAATTTATTTTGACTCCATTGGACAGTTTTTGAACTCTTATTTGTATTGGCTTAATATACATATTTAAAATAAAGTGAATATTCCCCTTTGTCTTTCTTTACTATTTCTTTATTATTTGGAAAATTCTCATTAAGGTTTAATATAATATGTTGCTTTCAGGTGAACTGAAAAGTCCCAGTAAATCGATTCCCCGTGGCACTCTGTCTGCAGTGGCCTTTACATTTGGAGTTTACATTTCAATTTCACTGTTAACAGCTGCTACATGTACAAAAGATTTAATGCAGAATGATTATCTATTTATGATTGGTATTAGTGTATTCGCACCCAGTGTTACAATAGGGCTCTTAACTGCCACTTGGTCTGCTGCCTTAAGTAATGTTATAGGATCTTCCAGGGTACTGGAAGCTCTTGCCAAGGATAGAATTTTTGGTAAGTATGCAGGGCGTTTCTTAAGTGCATGGACTTATCACATGTTCATGAAGTAGGGGTCTAAAGGCGCTAGTTTGTTTGAGATACAGGGTGTTGAGGTTAAAAAAATATCACATGGTTTCAAATATTTCTGATATTTTACATAGACTGATGAAACTTGAGCTAGTGGTTTTACTAATTAAGGGGTAATGCTGCTCTACAAGTTGGGAAAAAGGTGATTTTTGGGAATATTCATGGAAAAATCAGTACAAAACATAGTAACAAAAAAGGCTTTATCGTACATGTTTTCATGTAGTATTATGAATTTTTTCTAACAATGTTAAGCAACAGCATCTCTTTTTTAGAGGGCTATATGGCCAGAGGGATTTTTTATTAACGAAAAGGTTTGGAACAAAAAAAAAAAATAAAAATTTCCTGTATAACTATACTGAAATTTAGGGAATATCGTAGGGAAATTAAAAAATGTTAATAATTGTTGGTTAAGTGAAAATTGAAAAACGTATCAAAAAAATTTGAAAATTGTTAATCAATTGAAAAACCTATATGATGTTTCCTGAATTATGTAATTGTGAAGCTCTGTACAAAATTTCAAGTTGATTCATTAAAAACTTTTGTGTTATGTTTCTCGCCAGTTAATAAATGTGATTTCTTGAAAAATATTTTTAAAATTTTTGTTGCCATTCAGTATAAGAAATTTGTTATATACCTTAAATCTCACTTTTTGAACAAAATGGAAGATTTTTCTTTGAAATACAATTACGAATAAAATGGACTGATCAAATTTCCGAAAAATTCACTAGTATAGAAAGCCCAGGTTTTATCAACCTATTTAGAACTTCTTTAGGCATATTTAAAAAATGTAATTTTTGTAAATATCGATATCATGTATCTTGACTCCTACTTCATTAGGACTTTTTGGCCCAATATGATCCACTAGGACGGCTAGGATCTTAAAAACACATAAATTAATATTTTTCATCTTGTATGATAAGTTTAAAAATATATGTACTTTTTCATTTAGTGCATCCTTTCAAAAATGATCTATTTGTGATAAGAATTTTAAAGCATTATAATTTAATTTACTAGAGCTGCAATTTAATTTTTTTAGGTTTTAGGATTAAAATTTGTTTTATTCTACCTGCATAAATTGTTATTGGACTATAATTTTTACAAATTTATATAAGGTGTTTCATTAAGAATGGACGACATCTTAATGGGAGGTTCCTAGGGTCAAAATTAAAGCGAAACATGCTTTTAATTAAATGTTAGTCTTTTTCAAGCTACAGGGCGTCAAAGTTAAAAAAAAGTTTAGAGTTGGCAATATTTCTAGTCTCACAAATTTCATATCTGGACCAGACGAAAGAAGTACTCAATTTTGAACCTAAATCTGCAAAAATCTAATTTTTCAAAAATATTAACTTATCTTCTTAGTAACACAGAGAGGGTATTCTGATGGATAAATTTGACCAAGATATTGTCTTTCACGCCACTGGAAATCTTCCCGACACCTTGCCTGATAGGTCTTTGTAATTTTTGTTCTTCTTGCCAGAGTTGTTTAACCCTTTCACTGCTCCAGACGTATATATTCGCTAAAAATTTATAGGGCTCAAACTGCTCCAGACGGATTAATTCGCATGAATAGTTAATTGGATCAGACTGCTCAAACCGTATATATTCGCAACCATGCGCATTAGTGACTCGGTTATTGCAATTGGTAAGGCGAATTTTTGCGGGCGAGCTTATACCGATTGTGACAAACATTTTTATGGAAAGAGGTACTGGTAATAGTATCAAGATTTTTCATGTTTCTTTCAGTTTCTATTTAGTACATATACTGTATTTTATTCAAAATAAAATCGTAAAATTTATCGTAAATCGTAATTTAACACAACATAAAGTAAAACTATAAGTGGTCTAACTGCTCCAGACGTATATATTCGCACGCGATAAACTTTCGCGCATGGCGCGGTAGCTACGTTCAGACGTATTGCACAGCGAAAGGGTTAATATAAAATATACAACTCTTACTGTCATTTAAATCAGCAGCCACTTCACTCAAAGATCAATTATCTTCTAATTTACCTATAGGCCTTGGTCTTTGTGCCTCAGTTAAATGCTCCTGCATATTTCACGTTACTTGTTTACATTTCATTATGTTTGCTCTAAGTGACATATATTTGACAACTATTGAATTTTACGACGACTATGATTTGAAGTTTAAATTACACGGTACAATATTCCCGTTCACATGGGTGGCGCCGACTGTACCAGAGTCTTTAGTTACTATAGAAAGGTGATGATAACATGCAAACTGCAAAAATATACGTCATTATATGAAGTTTATACCTCGTACAGGTATATGAGGTTTGATAAAAAAGTAATGGGAATTGTTAATTTTCCCAGAAAATATTTATTTAATTTTCAATTTTTATCCCAGCCCCTCAAAGTAGCCTCCCTGTGATATTATACACTTACACTAATGTAGTTTCCAATTTGATTTTTTCTTTATCTCAACTATTGTTGAGTTTGGGACAGGAAAGTCACAGGGGGCATGTCCAGAGAACAGGTGGTTGTGGCATCATAACAGTGTTGTGTTTTGCCAAGAGTTGTAAGATAAGAAAAGCTGTATGCGTCGGTGTGTTTTTGTGGTGCAAAATCCACGAGTTTTCTCCTGATTGCCTTACGCAAATTATGCAAAACATATAGGTAGTACTCCTTGTTAACTGTATTAAAAATTCGTGCTGAACTATTTGACGAGATCTTGCCTCATCTTCGATGTCTTATTAGCCTTCCTGAAAACATTTCTGCCATTGATAAACTCGTTGCTGTAACATAGTATCACTTTGCTGTACTTAATTATGTTTTTAACACAAAATATCAGGCAAACTCTCTAATTCGACATTTCGCCACTCAAAAAATCGCTCGTTAAACAGAAACTAAACGTTGCAATGCCTAAAAATTGGCAAATACGTCACTGATAGTGCTACCAATACACAAAAAAGAGACAACTCGATAGACAAGGTACAACATGTGCAATTTGCAAATTCCCATTACTTTTTGATCAAACCTCCTATACCATCAGAAGTAATAAGTAATACTGTGCCTCTCTAATTACATGAATATTTCATGCTTTATTTCCAAGGTATGTAAATTTCCAAGTACTCGTCATGTTAAGGTATATGAGTGTAGGCAATAAATTTCCAGATAGATTTAATGACGATTTGAGTGTGTAACATCAATTTCATATCTATTACTTTAGTTCTATTATGAATTATAATGGGAAAGTACCATTTACTTGTTATTAAAGATGTCTATAAAATAACTAATAAAAATTTTTAATTTATATAAGCTATATTATCTTATTGTAAATGGTGTATAAATGTATTTCAACTACTGCAAAAACAGTGATCTGTCTTTTCTGCAGATTGAGTGAAATAAATTCATTCCATTCAAAATATGTATTCGATAACCTAACCAAAGAATATTTTCAAAATTCCAAATTTTTTTTTGGAACACACCCTATAGATTGAAAAGAGTCATTTGACTGTCCGTTTGACTCAATTACCTTATTTAAATTCAAATATCTCCCATTAAGCTGCACCCTATTCTTAATAAAACAATCTGTATGAAGATCTACAATTTCAATCTGTTCTAGGCCCAGTGCTTGAATTTATCCCTAAAGGCACATGGAATGGTAATCCAGTTGCTGCAGTTTTTGTGTCCTCTGCCCTTGTGCAGTTAGTATTACTAATCGGTTCACTAAATATAATTGCTCAATTAAATTCCGTCTTATTCCTTCTAAGTTATTTGGCTACAAACATGGCATGTTTAGGTCTTGAACTAGCAGGCGCTCCAAATTTCCGTCCGTCGTTTATGTATTTTACGTGGCATACTGCCTTAATAGGATTAGTGGGGACATTGATCATGATGTTTATTATTAGTCCCATATATGCTGCTTGTAGCATACTGCTTTGTTTACTGTTGGTTATGTTTTTGCATTTGTTTTCTCCATCTACTAAAGAAGCACAATGGGGTAGTATATCCCAAGCCCTTATATTTCATCAGGTAAGATAATATTGTTATGTATGAGCTAGTTACTAACTTAATTTATTTTTCTCATAAAGGGTGTCCCAAAATTCACACAAAAAGTAATTTTGATAGAAAACACAAGTTTTTAATTAAATATAATAATTTTTTTATTGGTTCGTAAAGTAGGTATACAGGGTGTCCGGTAAGTACCTCCTAATCTCTCGGGAGTGTATAGGGGAGGTCAAAATAAAACTAGTCCTTCCTATAATTTTTTTTCCTAATGTGCCCCCTAACGGAGTTATGGGGGGTCAAAGGGGTACCTAGAAATTAACGTTTAGGGTTATAACTTTGAAACCACCCTGTATATTTTAATAAAATTTTCGTACGTTGTATTACACATGGAGCTCTACGATTTGATGCTAAAATCAACTTTTTGCTATTATCAGGTGTCCAGAAACGGACTGGCCCTATCACAATTTTTCTCAAAATTTTGACAGAAGTAATTTTATCAAACTGAAAATATTATTATTAGATACTCTGAAGGTTTTTCTTTAAAAATGGTACTCTTTATTTATTTCGAAAAAATGAACGGTTTGCGAGATAAATCGGTTTTGAAAAAAATTGGTAACAAAAACAACAATTAAAATTTATTTTTTTTACATATTATTTCATGCATTTAATTTCTTTAACTTTATCAAGTCCAGAAATCTTTGAACGGGTTGGCTATACTTTATGAGCAAGTAGTGACCAATTAAAAATAACATTTGAAAAATAACTTACTTACAAGACATGCAACAAAGAACATTCAACAATGAACAAAGGTACCTAAATGTTACTTCGGTAGATGTTCAAAATGAGCACCCCGTACTTCAATGCACTTTCTAATCCTACGAATGTTTTCCCGGTGCACTTGAAATAATATTCCGTGATTATTGCGGAGATGGTCACAGTTCTGTGTTAGCCTCAGCAGAAGTTCCTCTCTACTATTTACGGGTGTTGAATAAACGTTATTTTTTAAATGACCCCACAGAAAAAAGTCTAATGGGTTTAGGTCGGGCGACCTAGGTGGCCATAATACAGGTCCGCCTCGACCTATCCATCGATCACCAAAAACATTCGTCAGATGTTGACGTACTAAACGATCAAAGTGGGGTGGTGCACCGTCATGCATGTACCACATTTCAGTTCTTATTTGAAGGGGCACTTCTTCTAACAAAATATTTAGATTTTCCTCTAAAAATTGCAAATAAAGAGCACCATTAAGTCTTTGCTCCAGAATAAATGGACCAATCAAATGATTCCCGATAATGCCAGCCCACACATTCACCATAAACCTTTGTTGGTAGCGAGTTTGAACTAAAGCGTGAGGGTTTTCTTCATCCCAGACATGTAGATTATGCGAATTAATTATGCCGTCTCTTGTAAAACCTGCTTCATCGGTGAACAAAATAGATGTACCAAAATTATGATTCCGAATATGATGCTGTAAAAACCAATTGGCGTATTGAAGTCTTTTTGGATAATCATCTGGAGACATAGCATGTACTTTTTGGATGTGGTACGGGTAAAGCAATTGTTCTTTCAGAGTTTCATGTACAGCCCATTTTGTAACATTGTTTTGCGCCGCAAGCTTCCTTATGCTATTTGAAGGATTATTAGCAACGTCTTCCAATATTTGTTCCTCTACATGAGGGTCTCGTACTCTCCTCGGGGCTCCTGCTCCACCACGGCGTGGCAAAAAGCTTCCTAAATAAAGGATTCGGAAGAAATTAGTTTCACTAACGTTTTTCACCTTTTTTTTTTTACCTGTTTCTCTTAAACTACGATCAACTCTTTCAAAAGTTTTTGGACTCGGCAAATGTCGACCCGGAAACCTTTCCTCATAAAGTCTTCTTGCCTCCACGGAGTTGCATAATGCTTCCCCATAAATTAGGTGCATATCAGCATATTCTGCACAGGAATATTCTTCCATTTTTAAATGTTATTTCTAACGGCTTAAAACGAATACCACAATAAAATTGAATTTTTATTCTGTCACGCGCCTTTGACAAGTACTTTAAAATCAACAGGGTCTAACAACGAAAACAATAGAAAAGAACTCCATGGAGACAAGAGCAATAATAATTTGTAGATGTATTTTGGTCATAGATGTTGATTTTACAAGAAACGGCATTATTCATTCCCTTAATTCACCACCAGTAAATGTTTATGGTGAATCTGTAGGCTGGCACTAGCGGGAATGATTTTATTGTAAAAAAATAAATTTTAATTGTTGTTGTATTTGTTACCAATTTTTTTCAAAACCGATTTATCTCGCAAACCGTTCATTTTTTCGAAATAAATAAAGAGTACCATTTTTAAAGAAAAACCTTCAGAGTATCTAATAATAATATTTTCAGTTTGATAAAATTACTTCTGTCAAAATTTTGAGAAAAATTGTGATAGGGCCAGTCCGTTTCTGGACACCTGATAATAGCAAAAAGTTGATTTTAGCATCAAATCATAGAGCTCCATGTGTAATACAACGTACAAAAATTTTATTAAAATATACAGGGTGGTTTCAAAGTTATAACCCTAAACGTTAATTTCTAGGTACCCCTTTGACCCCCCATAACTCCCTTAGGGGGCACAGTAGGAAAAAAAATTATAGGAAGGACTAGTTTTATTTTGACCTCCCCTATACACTCCCGAGAGATTAGGAGGTACTTACCGGACACCCTGCATAGTATAGGGTTATGTATGGAATAACATATTGGGTAAATAGCCTCCACTTCAATTTTCCATGACCGTTTTGTATAAATACAGCTGAATTTCGTTAATACAGCACTCAATCTCCTCCTTCAAGGTGGTGATCGTAGGCATGTTGGCATAAATCTTAAGACTTAAAAAAAAACCAAAGAAGAAAGTCCAACAGTGTTAAATCGCATGATCTGGGTGGCCAACCAGGAATGTCTTGTTGAAACCACATGTCCTCTACACCTATATTATCACGTCGTACTAGTGGGCACCATTAACTGTGATTGCCTTACCAGCCCCATTTTTTAAAAAGAATGATTTCTATGGTCCAGCCCAAAATTTGCACCAAACAGTGATAAATGGATGTATTTCTGTCTCAGTAATCACTCGTGGATTTTCTGAACCTCAAATGTAACAATTTTGTCAAATAACAAAGCCATCAATCTGAAAATGAGTCTCATCCCTGAAGATAATTTTGTTCGAAAAATCGGCATCTACTTGTTCCATAATCCATTCAACAAACTCTTTGCTCTGTGTGGTCAGTAGGCTTCAATTCTTGAGTTAGTTGAATTTTGTAAGCAGGGAGATTCATGAGAATATGCTGTAAAGAGCGACTCAAAATGTTGTTGAAGGATGGTCAGAGGGTTTAAGGTCACTAATTGATCCAGTCTCCCTGAATGTTTCAATTAATCTCTTCACAGTTGATGAATTTAAATAACTATTCCGATCATCTTCTGTATGAAAATTGCTATAATAACCGAAGCTGCCAAACCTTCATTTTTAAAATATTGCTCAACAATGAAAATGCATTGTTCTTTCGTGTAGCGCTCCATTTTTAATAACCCTGAACTGTCTGTCACGCTGGCCACACAAATGATGCAAAATTACATGAATTTCGGGACTCCCGATATACATATATCATAACAGCATTGTTTAATACTCTAAAAGAATGTAATCATGTTTCTTCATATTTTTAGGTTAGAAAATACCTTCTTCTTTTGGACTCTAGAAAAGATCATGTTAAATTTTGGCGTCCTCAGATGCTACTTTTAGTGAACAGTCCTAGATCAGCATGCCCACTTATAGACTTCATAAATGATTTAAAAAAAGGTGGCTTGTACGTATTAGGTCATGTTATAACTGATGAGACAAATAGCGATGGGCCTGATCCAACATTAAACCAATATATACACTGGTTAAACCTTATAGACCATTTAAAAGTGAAAGCGTTTGTAGAATTAACTGTAGCAAAAACAGTTAGAGAGGGACTGCAGCATTTAATGAGACTATCAGGAATGGGTGCAATGAAACCTAATACTGTGGTTTTAGGATTTTTAGATGAACAGGATCCTCAAGACTTCTTACAAAGGTTAGCGAAGATTAAGTGTATCTTCTCATAGAATTTTGACATATTTATATACATAATCTACAGTGGCGCCTCGTGATATTTACAATAGGTGAAGCATATTCATTGATTGACTAAAAAGAAATAAAAAAGCGCTGCTGGCGAAAATTTTCAAGGTCAAACGACTTTAAATGAATTTGGAAATTTTTAGTTGCATTTGCAATATTACCGAAAAACTGACATTCATGAGAAGGATTTTCAATTAGATTTTATAAAAAATAGAAATTTTAGTTTGGCTTGTGGACTTCTGTGAACATTAATGCACACCGTACATGTATGTTCCAAAGAAGCTTTGTAGTTACAACAACATCGCCTGACGTTCCCAAAATTGTTAAATTCCTTCTTATTCCACACTCCCGACTTTACACCCACAATTAAACACGGCATACAGAAGCGTTATTTTAAATGAACACTTCCACACAACCACTTATACTTCGAATACCATTCAATCCGAAACTATCGAACGTACACGTCTTTTGACTTCCCCTTTTTTCCATATCGAGAGAATAAGGCAGGACTTGCAATTTAAAAAATCCTTTTTGTCCTCAATTTTCCATCTGGAAAATGGCGTTTCCAACAAAATACATTCTGGATCATACATAGGGAACATTTCTACAATTATTATACAAAACAAATATTAACAAAGAACCGTTATAATCGTGCACTGGGCGACGCGTATTATATAAACTGTTTAATTAATACAACTGTACAATACTATGTGGTTTTTTGCAAGCTACAAAGCAATTAACTTTTAACAGTAGTTCATTTCATTTATAGATAATACAACAACATGAACAACTAGTATATTTGTCTAAAAATTGATTTAATCTTTAACATTTTACCCGGAGTAACATGCAGCAAAATACAATTATGTAAAGCCTTTAGTACTCGGTCATAATAGTGAGTTAAATATAAAAGATTGGAAGAAAAAAATTATGAGCAAAAATTCCTTTCTTCATACCCTTGTATGTAATCAAGTCATTCTTGTCAAAATTTTTTATGGATTTTTGTAGTGGGACTATAAAACAGAAACCTAGTCCTCGACATCAAAGGAGCCGACATCAAGTTAATGTAGTGTATAATTCGTACAATGCTGCAAGTGCAATAGTGACCTTTATTTTAATTTCAAAATTTTCTGTGCACGTGTAATGTTTTAAATACAACATATATTATACAGGGTGTTCTCAAGGTTGAGTCATTTATTTTAACAGCCGGTAGAACCCATAAAAAGAAATCAATTTACCAAAAATCGTTTGCAAAAGTAGTCAAATATAGCAATTATTAACAATTATTTAAAAAAATTTAAATTTAAATACTTTTTAATACAAACCTGATTTATTATCATTTTCGACCACTCCGTTGTAAAAACATAAATTGTTTGTTTACTACTGATACTGGGTATGTTTTTTTTTGTAGTTGCATGGTTTTGAGTACGCTTTTCAATTTGACAGTGCTAAATAATTCGTACAGTAGTGCGTGATATTATTTTTGATTTGTGGGTGTTTTATGCAATAAAAATGTCACATGTTTATGAAAACAATGAACTAGTGGACATAATATTAACTTATACGGAATTTTGATGTAATTTTTGTGATCTTTTTTTTAACAGTTGTATTGGTCTTTTAGATAACAAATATATTATTCAATAAATTAATCAAGAATTGATGAAGTTATACATATAAAATGTTTAAATTTTCTAGACTTAATAAATTGGCAAAGAAATTGGAAACAATGGAACTTGTTCTAATTTATTAGCAAGATTTTTTGTTACTTTTTATATTTTTATTCAGTAATATTATCATTGTAGTCCAGACGGTATCTGTTTCAAAAAGCCATATTTGGGTGAATCGTATATCCATGGAGATTTTTGGCTTTTTGGCTTTCAGATATCACTAGAAATGAAAATTTTTCTATCCGCATTAAAAAAAACGTGGGCTTAACTTTTGGCGGCACAATATGTTATAAAAATTCGAAAAATGTCATATTTTTCTTCCTATTTAATTATGTATCTTTTCAAGAGTTGATTTTAGGCGAAAATGGAAGAGGAAAAAAATGTTTGTAATTAAATTTTTTACAAAACATGACTAGTTACAAATCGAATGAATCATGATTATTATGGTAAAAATCTCAAAAATGGGTTTAAAAAACAATACTTTTTAGGGAATTTTTTTGCGGTTTTTAAATTGGGTATAGGACCTTTATACTTGGCTCAAGATAACTTCATGTTATGTAGAATCATCACACCAAATTTCATCAAAATTGGTTCTATAGATTTTGCATAATAATTTTGCAATCCAGATTTTGAAAAAAAATTGCATATTTTCAAAATTTTGCACAGCAAAAACCAAGCCCCTTAGATACTTGAAAATTTAATCACATATAGAAGGGCTCTCAAACTTTCAAACTTTTTTTGAAAAATTCGAATCCTTCAATTAGGAGAGCTCTGGCGCTTGTTTAAACATTGGTCGAATTTTTGTACTTATAAACAATTAGAATAACTTTGTGAATATTCAGACAAATCAAATTTTTTAAAGCAGGTTTTAAAAGTTCTTGGAAAGACGTTTCTTTAAAAAAAGGAAACAAATCGATTGATCAATTAGTTACGTAGTTATAGCCGATCAAAGGTAACCGTCATTTACACTAAATGCACTGAGACATCCAGGCTAATTTTTTGAAAAATACCTTTGGTATTCCGAGTACTTACCAGGTCTAAGATTACAATACTTTTCTTCATTGGCAACCTTCTTTAAAACGTGTAAAATTATTTATGCAAGAAAATTCAATAAAATCGTACGGGTGGTGGTGGTGGGGGAACAGAGAGCGGCCGCTTCGGCCTGCTCGAAATTGAATCGGCTATAACTACGTAACTAATTGATCAATCGATCTGTTTTTTTTTTAAAGAAGCGTCTTTCCAAGAACTTTTAAAACCTGCTTTAAAAAATTTGATTTGTCTGAATATTCACAAAGTTATTCTAATTGTTTATAAGTACAAAAATTCGACCAATGTTTAAACAAGCGCCAGAGCTCTTCTAATTGACGGATTCGAATTTTTCAAAAAAAGTTTGAAAGCTTGAGAGCCCTTCTATAAGTGATTAAATTTTCAAGTATCTAAGGGCCTTGGCTTTTGCTGTGCAAAATTTTCAAAATTTGCAAATTTTTTTTCAAAATCTGGATTGCAAAATTATTATGCAAAATCTATCTAACTGATTTTGATGAAATTTGGTGTGATAATTCTACATAACATGAAGTTTTCTTGAGCCAAGTATAAAGGTCTTATACCCAATTTAAATACCCCAAAAAAAATTCCCTAAAAAGTATTGTTTTTCAACCCCATTTTTGCGATTTTTTCGATTTTTACCATAATAGTCATGATTCATTTGATTTGTAACTAGTCATGTTTTGTAAAAAAATTAATTACAAACATTTTTTTCCTCTTCCATTTTCGCCTAAAATCAACTCTTGAAAAGATACATAATTAAATAGGATGAAAAATATGACATTTTTCGAATTTTTTTAACATATTGTGCCGTCAAAAGTTAAGCCCACGTTTTTTTTTATGCGCATAGAAAAATTTTCATTTCTAGAGATATCTGAAAGTCAAAAAGCCAAAAATCTCCGTGGATATACGATTCACCCAAACCAAAACACATACCGCTTAGTCTATTGGTGTTTATTGTTATAGTTGATTAGTCTGGCATAAGTTATAAGCATAATTCTATCATGACTCGTATTTTACTTATATCAGATTGATTTTCATCTTAAAAACCAATTGTTTAAAAATTAAAACTGTGTAATATAAAACTCGTTTAAGTTAGATAGCGTACCGGTTTATACTTTCGAAAAATATTTAAAAAATAAGAAATGATTAGAAAAATGAATATAAATATTTTTTTTAGCAATGATTCCGCATATCAGAATCAAGATTTTAATGACGATATATTTCCATTAAGAAACCAAAGTACATTGAAATCTCTAGAATATGTACAGATGATGCGAGATGTCTTAAGAATGAACAAGAACTTGTGTCTATGTAGGAACTTTTTCAAGTTGAGGAAGGATGCGAAAAGGTAAAATATTAAGTGTTGTATTTAATTTTTAGTTTATTTCAAGGGAACAGCTATTTTGCCTGGTTTGGAGAATAACTTTATCTTTAAAGCTTTACTTTATATTTAATAGTCAATGAAGTTTAAAAATTTTCCAAAAGTTATCAGATTAAATATGCTAAAGAAATAATTCCATAGACATGTCATTAATTAAATTATGTAAAAGAAAACATAATATATCCAACTATTAATATTAGATAAACACATACCTGATGTATCGAAATCATTAAGTGATGTAACTTCTAAGGAAAATATATTTTTTCTTGTTTATAACATCACTCATCTCTGGGAGAAAGACTAACTCGTGTAATGACAAAAAAAATACTTGAATGGCTACCATGTACTATTAATTGGACCATGCTAAAATCATCAAAGATAAAATCAAATTTTATTATTTTGATTTTATTTTTTTCGGGAATGATGAAAGAGCTCTTCCATCATTAGGAAATAGGAAACACTTTCTCAAGACAATTTTTGCTCATCTAATCATTATGTTTATGAAATTACATTTCGCGATATTTTGTCTTCGAGGTTTCATATTAAATGTACAAGGAAGCAAGTAGTTTTTATTTTTAATAGTGATATTTTTATTCCAACACAAAGTACAAACCATGTGGTTAAAGTTGGCCTTTGCTTCTGATGCAAATTTTAATCCATTTTTGGAAATTTTCCATAATGTTCTCACATAATAGGGTTGTTGACCAAATTTCAAAAAGCAGATAATATAATTCTACACGTACTAATTAGTGTGTATGCACAATTAGAGATTGAGAAATGCGTCGGAACAGTTTTAAAATAATTTTTTAAAACTGATTTTTTTATAATATTTCAAAACGGCTGTGACGTCATAAGGGGCACCTTGTAGTGAAATTATGTGTAGATGATTGCGTAAAGGAAAAAATTGGCGGAAGAAGATGCTCTGTCAACACTGTCAGTAGTGTCAGTCTGTCACTGACATTGTCGCATAAAATATTTTCAAGTACGAGTTATCTTCCTTAATCTTCGAATTCCTTTATTAAGTAAAATTATTATTTAGTAATAATCATTTAATATCTTCCTTCCCTTAGAATTAAAGCAGAATGTGTGAAACGGAATTTGTGAAAGCTACTTCGCAAATTTTCCGAAAATTGATATTTTTATGATCATGAATTGAATTTTTAAAAAGAGACGACCGTTTTAATATTGGCGAAATCAGGGGTATAAAAGCAGTCAGGTAACGATTAACATATTTAATGAATGATTTTATTGTGTTTATTTATAATATAAATATTAAATATAAATACCTACTTATTTACGAAAAATTATAGTGCAGTTCGGGAGCCTTATGGAGATAATGCAATTGGCTAGGTGGAATGTGGAACAAAACACCACTTAAATTTTGTTGAATCCATTACAATTAGGAAATTAATAATAACTATCACAAATACTCTTAATTCATAGACTGCTGTCACTAGTGTCACTTTTGTTTAAAGAACAGAAAACAGGACAACAAGGTTTGATGGACAATTTTGATATATTTTCCTCTTCTTCAAAATTATGCAATAGGATCGCTACTAGCTTCTTGTTCAATTGCCCCTTATGACGTCAGACTAGTTTTTAAGTAACACAAAAATTCATAAATGATTTCTACCACTAATTTGTCATATATTTAAAATTTTACTATCCAGGCAGGTTCTTTTATATAAAATCTTTGTTTCAACAACAATTTGTATATGGTTTGTTTTTATAGTCAACAACCCTATTATAGACCTATTTTGCCAATTACATGTCGGACATTGTGTTTGAGCAGCGTTTCAATCATTTCTGAAGCATTAGCGTTCACCTTATCCTTCACATAAACTCTAAGAAAGAAATCCAACAGTGTCAAATCACATGCTCTAGGCGGCCAATTGAAACCTCCGTGACGCAAAATAATATGTCCAGGAAACTCCTCAAGCCATAAGGCTATCTTTTCACGGCTTGCATGGCTCATAGCTTGATTGTGCTAAAAAAACATCTTCCAGATTCAGTTTTTCAATGGTAAGCTCAAATAATCAGTGTATTTCGGTACCACAATCCATCGACTGTAGTGGTAACGCAAACTTTGGCGAAGAAATATGTCCCTATAACGCCACACAACTCCAGAAACCGCACAAAATAGTCAGTCGATGTGAATGAAGGGGTTATCAGATGATAACTCTTGGGTTTTCGCAACAATTTCGCTTATTGACGTAACTTTGTAGACAAAATTTAAAAGTCGCAGAAGCTACCCCATTTAAATCTATCTCAAAAATATATCTTCTAAAAAACTCTCTCCATAATAAGCTTCTGTATGATGTTACTAAAATTGAACTCATCAATCTAAAGTTATAAAAACAAGAAATATAATTGACAAACAACGATGAAAAAATTAACATTTTAATATAGTTTTTTTTTCTTTGGAAACTATATATATTTATTTGAAATATATTCTCATTACACCTTCAAAATGAGATGTGTATTTTATGAAATTGTTCAATAGAAATAGGAAATTCATTGTTGGACTTTTTTATTTAAGAATTATAATCGTTTTTTGACTTGCTTTTTATTATGACTGATTGACCTATGGAATGTATAGTATAAACAAAAACAATGAGTATTATTTAATATTAATTATTTACTGATATCAGTGACGGCTTGCAAAAATTTAAGTAGTCATATGATTTCTCTGCCCACAAAGAGTACTTTAGTGATGAAAAAGTTTCAAATGAAATTGCAAAATAATAAATTAAAATGGAGAATAACCCTTAGATCTCGAAAAGGGTTCACATATATTTGCAATTTTTTTTTTGTAATCAACTAGTAAATACAATAATAATAATAATAATAATTTTATTCCAACAAGATAGTATGGGAAACTGTCAAAGATGCAAAATTTAAGTGTAGGCGCTTTACATAATTAAAAATCAGATAGAATATATAACACATATCACAAGTCAACTATAATAGTAAAATTAAAAATACAAATAAATCATAATACAAATAACACAGATAATGATCAGAAGACGAAGAATGCATAATGGAGAATATAATATAAAGAAACCAAAGTAAAGCAAAATATAAATAAAGAAAAATAAAGAACTATCACAGCGTCATGCAGCCGTGCAATCAATATGCAGAAAAGTATTAAGCATCAAATATTCGGATACAGAATAAAATGAATTATTGTTTTAACTGGTTTCTAAATTTGAAAAAGTTTTGGATTTCTTTAAGTTTTACGGGAAGTTTATTATATAATTGTATGCCAATATACCTGGGATTATTCTCATATGTAGACAGGTGATGTTTAGGAATTACAACTGAAAAACCATTTCGGGTATTATAATTGTGGAAATCATTGTTTACCGGAAATTCATTCATAATTAGTCGAACGTAGATAATTACTTCAAGTATATATAAACAAAGTAACGGTAATATTTTTAAAAACTTAAAATAATCACGACACGATGTCCTGTTAGAGATGCCAACAATGCATCGAACAGCTCTTTTTTGCAGTTTGAAAACCCTATCCAAGTTATTCCGCAATCCCCAAAAAACTATACCATAACGCAATCTAGACTTAAATTGAGAATGGTAATATGACATAATAATCTCTCTACTAGTTATATATCGAAGACGATATAGAGCAAAACATAAAGATGATAATTTATGACACACAAAATCAATATGAAATTTCCAGTTTAATGCACTGTCAATATGTACTCCAAGAAACTTAGTTGTAGATACCTGCGCTATGGACTTAACATCTCACAATAAGTAGCTTTTATTAATATTTAAATATCTAGGAGTGAAATGGATAAACATAGTCTTTGGTGTATTTAGATGAAGCTTATTATCTTCGAACTAACGAGAAAATTTATTTACCATACTTTGCATGTTCTCCATTGCCTCATTCATATAATCTCCGACTGAAAGGTAGGTGTTATCATCCGCATAAATAATTAGATTTTCTGTTTTGTGAACTACATCAACACTATCATTTATAAATATTAAGAATAATAAAGGACCAAGAATTGATCCTTGTGGAACTCTAACACCTACGTGCAAATTTTCCGATCTGTTCCCATTAATGTCCACACATTGTTTCCTATCATGTAAATATGAGCTTATCCAATCACCCACTTTTCCGCGAAGACCATATGAAGAGAGTTTGTCTTTGAGCAAGTCATGATCTACATGGTCAAATGCCTTGCTCAAATCCATAAAAAGTGCGCAAGTTGTTTTATTGTTATCTATATATAAACAAGATTCATAAGCTGGTGCAAAGCAGTATGTGTACTCTTCTTTTTTCGGAACCCATGCTGGGATTCCGTTAATATATTGTGATCAGACAAGTACCCATATATTTGGTCAAAGATACATCGCTCAAGAATTTTAGAAACTGAACTAACTAATGAAATTGGTCTATAATTTTCGGTTAAGCGTGTATCATCTTTCTTATATAAAGGAACAACAGGGGCAGTCTTAAAAATATCCGGAAATATCGCCATCTCCAATGCCATATTTATTAAATAAGTAAGAGGTTGTATAATAAATTCTGAAATATGTTGAAAAATATTTGAGGATATTTCATCAAAACCACTCGATATTAACCCCTTGAGTGACATAATGGCATTAAAGGCACACATTGCCGACACAGGTTGTATAAAAATTGTAGGATAGTTTTTATTTACAAAAAAATTTCTATCTATTTTTGTTTCGTCATGGTTCAGATATTTTTGTGAAATACTGACAAAATATTCATTGAATATGTTAGCAATACTATAAGTATCATTAACTACTTCAGTATTAAATTTAATTTCTGATACTGTTTGGTTTACCTTTGTTATTAGATGTTTTAAGTTTTTTATCGTTATACATTTTTTTAGCTGCTAGTATGACTTGTATACACTTTTTTATATTTTTTGTAATATTCTTTATCCCTAATATTTTCAGTATGTATCATTGTTTTATAAAGTTCTTTTAGTTTTTCACCAGAAACGTAATACCTCTCGTAATCCAACCTTTTCTCATTAAATGTGTATTTACCTTCTTTTTTAATGGAAAAGATATATGTATATAATATTTAAGGATACCAATAAAATTCTGAAAAGCTTCATCAACCGTAGATGCTTCATATAAGAAAACTATTGTCATTTTTATTGCAATGTTCTCAGGATTTTATGTGTTGCGATTTATAAGTCGCAAAATTGAATTAAAACTCTTTCCCAACGGTAAAAATAAAAGTATTTTTATTGAAAACTAAGTGTAGAGAAAAAGATATGTTGTCGGGGCGAGCGTTCGCTGGAGAGTCTTCTTGGTGTGGATTCGTTTGCAGGTATAAGTAGCTGGTCTTTGGCACCAATCTGCCGTGGTCTTCTTCCGAGAACCATATCCCGCATTACACATTGTTTCTTGTCGCTTGCAATGGGTAGACCGGTCCTGACGGTGCCAGGCTGGCTCTCTTGACGTAATACTTAAAATCGGTCACTTGCAGACATGTGTACCCACACTGTTTTAAATACTAGTGAGGGAGTATTTAAAATAGAAAGGATAAACATTTCTAATTTTATATTTAAAATAAAAAAATTGACTAGTAAAACCCAACACAGTTCTGAGAATGTGTAACACTGTTTTTTTTTTTGTTATGCTATTGAATTCAGACGACAAAAGGAAAAGGTAGCAACTGGATGTTACCAACAATTATTTAGTGACAGATTATTATTTACAAAGATATTTTTGGTTTCATCTCAGTAATTCACAAATTTATACTATTTTACCTTAATTTGGCAATATTTCTATTCCCAAGATAGCATTCTAATTTAATCTTTTTGTTAAAATGACGTTACATCTAATTTCCAACATAAACCAGTTAATTCAAAATTACAAATTTTAGTGTAAGGAGGAAACAATATATTGATGTTTGGCCTGTGAATTTCCTGAATCCAGGAGAACAAGATGCATTCGATACTACTTCACTTTTTATGATGCAGTTAGCTTGTATAGTTAACATGGTACCGCTATGGAGTAAATTAAAACTCCGCTTGTGTATATGTGATGAGACGCGGACGAGTTACTTTTCTCTAAATTCGTCGTCACAAAGCCATTCGGATAAATTGCAGAATCTACTCAAGCGACTAAGGATTGATGCAGAATTGTTCCCCGTCACTGGATGGACAAATGTTATTGAATCACATGGCTTTGATGTGGAGAGGTATAATAAAAGGTAAGTTATATAGTTTAAGACGTAGAGAAATACCAGTTTTATTTGTATATATTGGTATTGGTTTTTTATTATATATAAGATTTGTTCGGGTTCTCTATTTCTGAACAGTTTAGAATCTGTGCAGAATAATAAACGCAAAATTCTAAATGATTCAGAACTATTAAGATTCTTTTAAAAACCAAAACGCATTAGAATTTATGGTATTTGCAGTGGCGTGTTGTTTTTAGTAGTGAACTAATAAGTTCAAAATCTAATCATTTTCATTAGTTTTCATTTGTTTGCTGTTTGCTTCTTTGCCTTATACCTTAATATCAAAATAATTTTTTACGTGCCACAAAAAATCTAAAATATTTTTCTCATGTGGAAATAGAATACTTTTATATCCAGTTCCAGTTTTAAGATACAAATATGATAGTTTGTTTCATTTGCCCTAAAAAGTAAAAAAAAAAACAAATTTATTCATCTAAAATGAAAATAATGTATCTCATACCTAAAGCTGTTTTTAAATTCTTCATCAGTAAATGGATTAACCGTATGTTAAAAAAAGTCATTTTTGACATGATTACTTTGCAATTCTGCGAAAATAACCCCCAAAATATTTATTCAGGACTGGAACTAGAAAATGAATTACTCAGATACATTTCATAAAAGAAAAACATGCAATGAAAAAATTACAAAATTTGTTGAATCAAAGCGATCTTCGGAAATAATGAGCATGATTCAAACGGTTTGGAATAGGGTTATATAAGAACCCGAACAAAGCTATAGTAAATTTATGTATAGAATTCAATTTAAAAACACAAATAACTAATTCTTTTCCAACATTTAATATATACAGATTGTCAACCATTAAAAAAAGTTAGGTATTTTGAAAAATGATCCTAATTAAAAAGTAATTGAAAAATTATGTTGGACAAAATTTCTACTTTTAAAACTATTGTTGATTCAAGCTAAACTCTTGTCCTCTGATAGAAATAATTTGCACTTTTTTAAAATCTTTGCAAAAATGAAGGCCTAGGAAGAACTAGTAATGCTGTAAATAATATATACTGTAGTATCGCTGAATGTAAATGCAAAGATAATAAACATTTAACAGTTAAGCGGGTTAGCATTTAGGACCTCCTCCCTTTCTTTCATATTTCACGATGAAAAATTTGAACTAGTGTATTTAGATGCGTTTCTTTTACGAGGTTTTTTAACAATTTCTTTTCCTATTTTGTTTTTATCAACATTGACCAATAAAGTGTTCTTATTTTAGTGTTAATACCTTAATTCTACAACAAACTGAAGAGACTGCAGTGACCTTTATATATTTACCATCTCCTCCAGCCAATGATGCAGAGGCAGAGCAGTTTTATAATAATTTGGAAGTGTTCTCCAGAAATTTACCACCTACAATTTTTGTGCATGGAGTGAGCACAGTTACTTCCACAACATTATAACATTAAGTAAAATTAGGAATTATTAGAAATTATTATTTGACATAAAGTATTAAGTTTAAAAATAATTAAGAATTTAATATTGAATTAATCTCGAGTTTTATATATTTTTTTAACTTGACATATTTTAACATATGCCTTGGGATACACTCTCTGTGATTTATATTTATAGTATATTAAGTGAGAGCAAATATATTTTATTAAATTATAAAGTTGTTTATTTAATTTTATTTTAATTTAATTATTTTAAATAATGGTATATTTAAAAAAAACTGTTACTTCCAAGATTTATTATACATGTAATATGAACATTTAGCAAACAACTTTATGGTGTACTTAAAATGTAAAAATCTAGTTTATCAGGAATTCAAAATTAAAAAAGATTAGCACTCATCTTTAAATTACTTAAACTGCAGTTTATACAAATTTGAAGTATGAGTTTAATTGTGGAAGTTAGAAAGTACACCATTTTTTTTTCTTTATATTTTGGGTATATTTGCCACCTGTGAAAAAATTAAAAAATTTGTGAAATCAACTCTTGTGTCAAAAGAATCAGTCAAGGGGGTTATTTTTAGGAAAATGTTTTTTTTTCTAACCAAAAAAACACTGAAAAAAGCAAACAAATACAAAATAACGCCACTTTTTTAGTTACTATCAAAGTAACAAACGAAAAGTCAAGAAAAGTTCAGAAGATGAACACGGACAGATTTTCGAAACATTATCAACTTTAAAGTAAACGATATAAAGTGATGTTTTTTTTATATTTTGAATTTGTCTGCTTTTTTCAGTACAAGATTTTTTGGTTAGGCAAAACTATTTTCATAAAAATGATCCTCAACTGATCCTTTTGGCGCAAGGGTTTCACTAATATTTAAATTTTTTCACAAGTCGCAAAATACCCAAAAAATAAAGAAAAAAAATGAAAACTATTAACTCCAGTTAATAAGTACACATGTTATGATAAAAATTTTTATTTGTCGATTTATACAGGGTGTATTTAAATGGAGCGGCACAAATGATACCAAAGATTCCTTGGGTGAAAATAAGTCGATTTAATCTAACATACCTATATCCCAAGTCACATAATAACAAAGATACAGGGCGTCAAAATGAAAAACAAAAAATAGTTTTTCCTTAATAATTTCTATAATTTTAGTCAGAAATGTTTCAAATTTTCAACAGAGGTTTTTTAATGATGGGAAAGTAATATAATACTGGTTTTTGAGTGTCGAGTACGAGACGTCCTCTGCAGGTAACGTTATGCATTGAATATGTAGCAACTTTTTTGCCAACCCCCTTATACAGCTTTTAGTAACAAAATATGAAATAATGGACTTTTTTAAACAAAAAAGGTATACTTATAGAAAATGGCTAAAGCTAAAGATATTTTTAATTTCATACATTAGTGTTATGGATTTATACCTTCACGAATACAGTACAGACACTTTTGTTAATAAATTCGGAACGTAGTGCCTCACAGTACTTATTAGTTGTATATCTACATTTTAAAATTCGACCAAAAGGGGGCGCAGGAATCGACTGCGACAACATTATTTTTCCTGTTTTAAATTTACTTAACTATTTTTGCGTATTATTTTAACATGTGTGAATACACTTGTTGCATAATTTCTATTTAATTGTTTTTTCGGCGTCTTTATTAAAAAACATATTTTCTTGTGCATATGAAATTAAACCCTGCATTAAAAAAATCTCATGAAATAACAGTTCAGGTGAAAAAATATTGCAAAATACTTATTTATTGTTAGTTTAATAATAATTATTAGAAAAAAGAGCAAAACAACTAAAACCAAGAGTCACTTAACAGTCAATAGATAATTTAAGAGAAACAATTGGCTGACAATAAAAAAAACAAGATTTTTTAAAGGATATTTTAGAAGTAATTTCCATTTTCCTGTAAACAAAGTCTAATTCTACGATTAAAATTACGACGGACTATTGAAAAAATATGTCATTCTTTACTTACTGAGCTGCTGCAAAAATTCTTTGACAAAGCATCTCCACACTATCAATAGGGTTGGAATAAACAACATTTTTTAAGTGGCCCCATAAAAAATAGTCCATAGGTGTGAGATCCGGTGATCGTGTAGGCCATTTGACTGGTGCATCGTTCCCTCGACCTATCCATCTCGCAAGAAAATTTAAATTTAATCATTGTCTAACAGCTGATATACTATGAGCAAGAGCTCCGTCATGTGCGTACTACATGTTTTCACGGATAGCTAGTGACACGTCTTCAAGTAATATTGGGAGTTGCTCATTTAAAAATCTTAAATATTCGGCTCCACCGAGACGCGAGGAAGAATAAACGGACCAATAAGATAATCTCCTACGATTCCTGCCAATACATTTAAACTAAAATTATGTTGAAATTTGGATGTACAAACTTTGTACTGATGTCTGATTTTCGTCAGACCATGAGTGATTATTGTGATGGTTCACTAAACCATGTCTGAAATGACGCTTCATCACCAAACAAAATACTGTATAAAATATTTCTATTTTCCCTTGAAATATTCATAAATACCATTGACAAAAATCTACCCTGTTAGGTAAATCCGCAGCAGTCAATTCATGCACAGGTGGTAGATGGTAAGAGTATTAAAGATTATCATTCGCAATTTTCCATATCGTATTGTGTGAAACTTTTACTTGACAGTTTTCTGGTACTAGTTTCAGAATTCTGATCTTGTAAATTGCCAAGGACAACTTCCTTCAAGTTCTACATCGCGAATAAGACGTCTTCTGCCAGTACCTTCAGGACGAGGCTGAATGTGTCTGTTTCCTCGAGGTCTTCTTTCTACCACCGCAAAAGTTTTTCTAGCAGGAACACGACGATTGGGATATCTGGCACGATAAAGTCATACAGCAGCAGCACAGTTCTTGTAACATTCAAAAAATACTTGCAACATATCGACATACTCGTCATTGGTACTGCTATACATAATTTGTTATTTTATTCAATTCCAAAACTATTTAATATCTAGTGATTAAAATCAATTAACACTTTAAACTAATACTTTAAAATTGCAATTTACGAGTATTATCAAATGACATTTACCTACTCGATTTTTTTATTCATTTAAGCAACTCAAACCTTGGTATTCGTGGAGGTAACACTAATTTATGAAATTAAAAATATATCTCCTCAACGGTTGGCTTTAGCCATTTTCTATAAGTATACGTTTTTTGTTCAAAAAAGTCCATTATTTCATATTTTATTACTAGAAGCTGTATACGGGGATTGGCAAATAAGTTACTACATATTTAATGCATAACGTTGCCTTCAGAGGGCGTCTCGCACTCGACACTCAAAAATCATTATTATATTATTTTTCCCATCATTGAAGAATCTTTCTGTTGAAAATTTGAAACATTTCTGACTAAAATTATAGAAATTATTAAGGAAAAACCTTTTTTATTTTTCACTTTGACACCCTGTATCTTTTTTATTATGCGACTTGGGATATAGGTATGTTAGGTTAAATCGACTTATTTTCACCCAAGGAATCTCTGGTATCATTTGTGCCCCACCATTTAAATACACCCTGTATATGCAGTGAAAATTGGTTGACATTGCTTGATATGACATATTGGATATAACAACGGAATTTGGAAGTCCCGATTAAGTCCTATCGAATTACCACATTAAAAATTTCATTTACTACGACACTGTTTACAATGACATCTCGGATTTAGCCACGTGTTTTTATATACATTTATACATCGAATCTATCGGTTATAATGGCCAATGGTGATATAGCGCCTTAAAACCAATGCACCGCTCTTCTGTCTACTCTGCCGGCATCCACGCTTTTGACACCAGTTAGTATGTTTGGGACCAATTACGTCTTATCTATGCATACGAGTACAGTTATATATATTAATTACCACTTCCTATCATGATGTCGAAGATAAAAGTGTTTAATAAAGAAGAAAAATCACATACAGGGTCTGAAAATCCCCATGGTTCATCGGCCGTTATATGAGAGCGATAAAGAAAGTCATAGAAATCCGTGTGATAGAGAAAGATGGCTATAATGAAGGCGTCTAATAGTCACCGCCCATGTCGCCCTTCCACAAATAAGATCCACTTCTTATTTTATTTATGATTTTATGGATTAAATAAATTACTATTATTATTATTATAAAAAATGTCCTGTATAAAATATCGATATTAGCTAATATCTTTGCCTAACATTTACCTATAACTCTGGTAAATATTTTTGCTCCAAGTGTTAGTAGTTGAAAGTTAATACAACTTTTTCGAGGTCATGTTTTAGCCGATTAAAATTGGACATACCTATCATCGAAATTATAGAGAAAAAAAATCAAATGGGCATAAATTCATAATGTACCACTTTTATATCCATTCGCAACCTGAACCTTTAAGGGGTGGGGGATGAATGAAAATACAATATTCTTTAAACATGCTAATGATGGAATAATTCGGCAGAAATATGAATTCATAATCTTCAGAACTTGTTTATATTTGTTTGTACCTTAAACCTGTAGGGACAAGGGCTAAATAAATATACAATATTCGTGAAATTTACCTGACATAACCAGATATGGATACTTAATTATTAGTTATTAGGCAAATTTTACTAATTTTTTATATTTTATTATATAATCAATATCCATTTATATATTTCATTAGGTAAATTCTACAACATTTATATATTTATTCACCCCTCAACCCGTAGGGTTTGAATTACAAAATAAAAGTGATACTAATGATTTCGAATGAATATCCATTTGTATATTTCATGTCAATTTATATATTTATACATCTCGAATTCCTAATGATTTGAAGTACAAATGAAAAATTATTGAGTCCATATCCGTTTGCAAATTTCACAAATTTGATATATTTGTCATCCTTAAATTTGAGGGACAAAAAACAAAATTAATACACGAGTGTAAAAAAAATGGATGAATATTCAAGTCATCAGAAGAACGGTCTCCCATTCAACTGAGATTTTTGTATAAATAAACTATACCGATTTTCAACAAGTATAAAAAATGTATACTTGTAAAATTGTCCACGGAATCTAAAAATAAATCTTAAATGATTAGGTCATTGGCGTAGAAATTGGGGTAAAAAAAATCCCACTTTACTACCCATTTCTACGCCACTGACCTACAAAAATTTGTAATTTTACACTAAATTATGCATGTGTAAATATTAACACTACATCAAATTTGAATCAATTTGCTATAAGCATCCCAAAGATTTCGTAAATATGATTTTAATCGACCTATGCAGTGAAAACAGTGAGACTTAGACCCTTGCTTCATAAGGCAATTCTGAATTATTTATCGAGTTCTATTTGTGGTTAAAGTTCGATTCACTGGAACTGAAACACCCGGTTTATGTGATATGCTGGTTGCATTTTCCCCAGAAAAAACTTATTTTTTAAAATGTAATTTTGCTTTTGAAAATGATCTCAATTTGCAATTTGTAAATCATTTAAATTTAAATGATTTTACATGTTTAAAATGTCCCATACCTCAATACACTTTCTGATTTCAAGATTGTTTTGCAATAATTTTTTCTCCATCCCATATCTTAAAATAAGGGCTTCAACGGTAAATGTTTATATACGAAAATACTTTTAAATTTTTAACATACTGTTTATACCAGATATAAACGGCAATATAAAAAATGTATACAAATCCCTTAGAAATGAATCAAACTAAAGAAATTGTAATTTCTAAAATACGGTATTTCATATAAGTTAACTACATAGTTTCTTTTTGACTTGTACTATTTCAAACTTTCATTTTAACTTACCCTCGACATTTTTAATAATATTTACCTAAGCATAAAAAACACTTTTTGTTTTATCATTTTATATTTTCCTTAATGTTACAAAATATAAAATCATATATTAATTTACTTCTTTGTTTTCTTCTCTTTTGCTGCTTTTGTAACATCATCTGGGTTTTCAGCAGCATCCTTAATTCTCTTGGCCCGGATTCCAACTAAACGGGCATCAGCACGAGCTTTCCTTAGAGTAATGTAAGCATTGAATTTCTTTTCATCTTCAGTAGGTACCCTAGCCTTAGTTCTGATAGGTGGTTGCCGGATGGGTAAAACTTCACTTGTTAACTGCGTAGCAACTTTGCGTTCCTCTTCAGTAGCTTCACCAGCACGTAACTTCTTTTTGTTGTGTATGGGGAACAAAATCAGTTTAGACTTATATTCTTTCAAACGTTGCGCATTTAACTGAATTGACTCTACAGATTTATTTCTTCTGCGAGAATCTACAGCAACTCCTATGGTACGGGCAAATCTTGGGTTAAGTCCCGCAGCTTTCAACTCCTGAAGGGTAAATCCACGTCCGGCGCGCACTTTTGTGTGATACTTAATTGATGGGCATCTCACAATCGGTCTTAAAGGACCTGCAGCAGGTCTAGGAGCGATGCTTCTAGCTTTCTTCACACGACTTTGCTTCCTACGAAATTTTCGAGCAGGCTGGTTAAACCATGTTTTTACAAAACGTTGCCAGTCCTTATGGAAATGACCATTTGGAATCATATTATTACCTTTTGGTGCCATATTGAAGAATTTCTTCTAATCACAGCAGTAAAAACCGACACGTGCTTAGTCTCAAAATGGAAAAGACGGAAGAGATGTAAATATTTAGTAAAATAATTGTCTACAATGTTGGTAGTCTAATATAGTCTATTTTTTACGTTGCATACTCCCACGGTCGATACAAGATATGGTTGCCATGTTTCTAAACAAAAAATATATGTATAATATATTAAAACTACGATTTTCTTAATTAAAACAATGATCTAACTAAATTTGCATGAATATTCTTACTAATTAACTTCATTTCAACACATGTTTGTACATGCTTAAAATTACTTAAATAACAAAGCAGCTCCATCTGAAATATTTAACATTTCACTCAATGTTAACTAGTTTCATGTGTAGAAACTTTGGTACGTCTAATCTGAAGTGAAACTAACTCTATTACGTTTCAAAAATTCTTTGAACAAGGAAATATAAAGTTGTTTTCAATTTTAGTGATACCGTGGTACCATGTATCTTTTATACACCGTTATTTGATAATGGCTTTGTTTATATAAATCCTTACGGACTATATAAAAAGAGTAACGGTTAATCGTGAAAATTAATAGTTATATTTATGGTATTAACAGTTACGGTATATATAAGTCACACTGGGAAATGTTTAATAATTTTCCCAAGTGACATATGACATAACACACGAGTGCCATACGAAATTTTATCTAACACTTTCATAGAATTTCGTTTTAATAATAAATAAAAGTAACTTTAAAATACTTTTATCCAACACTTGTATATAATGATACTATAATTTTAAAGGAATAATATGGCCTATAACTCACTATACTCTGCGGTCGAAATTGAGTGACTAAGACAATATAAAAACACTATTACCATAATGCGTATATAAAAAATGATTTTTATACGGTTCAATATTATTTATCTTTGTGCCGCTCGCTACGCACATCGATAGAATTTATAATCGTCTAGAGACCGAATTACACTGAACGTCGATCTATATTCTATCTCTGTCTTTTGCACTTGGTAGGGAATAGGGAAATGCTTTTTTAGTGGGTGTAAACGGACTTGATTTAACCCGTCCTGAGAAACGTCATAGCATAAGCGTAGACGAGGGGTCTAATTCCATGGCTATAATAAATTTATAAATTAAAAAAACACAATTGGGACGTTTTAAAATGCCGTAATAATTAAAATGGATTATAGTACCTGTTATAGCAAACCGTAAAAAATATGGATTTTCGTTCCCGGCACGCTTCATCCCCCTTACTAGTCGAAAAGCTAGCGATGCCATTATTCTATGGCTAGAAATTGGCCTCAATGATTTGGGATCGAGGGGGATTATCCCTCTTTATCCTGCCTCATCTCGTGTAGGCCTGGACAGCCT